ATATATATATATATATATATTATACAAGCTAGTTCGAACTCGTAGACTTAAGCTAAAGCTCGATTTCAAACTCAATAAAATTAATCTAGCACAATCTGAAAGTGGCTCGAGCTCGACTCGACTCGTTTTCATCCCTAGTTGCATTACATATGTAAGATTCACAAGAGTTTATCAAAAAACTCCAAGACAAAATCTTCCCCGGAAGAAGTCTGATTCTTCTGGCTATTTAGCTTCTCTAATCATTGTTCCAAATAACTTCCAAGTGGTTTCTAAATTAGCCTAAAGTAAACCTTGAAAATAACAGAGAGTTTTAAATCAATTTTGACATTTATAATATTCGAGCATCCAATAGGTTAGAAAGTTTTGGAAAAATATTGTGTGTGGATATTGCAGATCGGTGGTATTAGAGTAATAGTGGGGTGGTATTGAGGTGTAATACAACATCAATGCCTTACAACATCAATGTCACCCGAATACCACTATCCACACATACGCTAGGTTTAAGCAATATTCTCTCGATGTTTGAGGTTATAAAATAAACGGCTAATATGCCATACAATACAAAATCATATATAAAATTCTCTAGTTTTTCAAAATCAATGTGAGTTTTAAATAACATCAAATCTCTATCTAATTTTTCAAAATCAACGGCTAATATGCCATACAATACAAATTTAGCATGGTAGACGCTTTAGCAACTTTAGAGGTTGTTTTGGATAATTTTTGTTTGTTATTTTATTTTATTTTTATATTTTGATTTGAAGCAAAATATATTTGACTATTTGATTAAGTTATGATTATTTTTAAAAATATTTTAAAATTTTTTTGGGTATTTTCAAAGTTAATTTAATTTAATTTTAGAAATAAAGAATAGAAAGTATGAAACACCCAAAACAATTCTCACAAATAATATTATTTGTCTTTAAGATATTAGCACTCAGGATAATATTTGTCATAACTATAATTGATATCATTCATCAATATTGAAATTTTGTAGCAATCATCAAGAAAGATCATCTCGAAGAAATCATTTTTGAAAGAGTATATTTTTCTTCCTCTATTGATTAGAAATTCCTAATAAAAGGGCTAAGTTTGTTAGGATAGCCTTTGAATTTATTAACATTAATGGGATGTGTTATTCTTGATTGCAAAAAGAAAATATTATAGGCTCATCATAAATAGTTTAATCTTGCCATAAGACCTTAATGTAGTTTTAGAATTTATCTCTAATCTTGTGATGCATATTTCCACATGACATGAAAAATGAAACAAATGGGTGCAAAACTACATGTGACATGTAAACTAGGTTAGTTTTACTGTTGAACTTAAATTTGTCTGTGAATCGTACTCAATGAATTGAGCGTGATAAAAAAAGACAAGCATATAAAGAGATGTAAGAAATCAAGCATTTTTGTATATGGTTTCAACAAACTCTATTATATATAATGTTATATTTATAGAGGGCTAGAAATAGTAAAAAATGACAATTACACCTTTGATTCTTTTCAATTGGTTGACTTCCAAATTAATGAGTTCATGTCGTGGGGTCATTAATATCTTACGGGTCATCCTCTTACTGGTCGATCTTTACCTGAGGCGTCTCAATCAACCTTTGATTTGGCTGACCTTTGAATTAGTTTATGCTTGTTCGGCTGCTCGATTGATATCCAACCTTTGGTTCGAAGGACATCTGAGTTTGTTAACCTTGGTCAGTTTCTCAATCAATATTCAACCTCTGATTTGGCCGACCTATGGATATATTTGTCTATTCTCATGAAGGTCTAACTTGTGATATGTGCACTGCTTTGAACCATTCAATTCACAGAAAATCTGGTCAAGCGTATTTTGATTGTACATCTACATAATTCAAGATTTCAAAAAGTCACAAATCTAAAGCCAATCACTTGTATCAATTACAATATGGATCCCAATCTTTAATATAAAACAACATAATGATCTAAGATGTTTTGATTGCTCTCTATGTAATTCAAATAATAAAAATAATTATTTTTGGTGTGTAAATCTTAAACAATAGTTTTTGAATTAGGTGCAAAAAAACATTACACAAACACATCTAAAATTGAATTAAAATTTTGAAAAGATAAAACATGTGTTATAACTAGTTCTATTGTTTGCATTAATTTAATAAAACTCAATTTAAATTGGCACTAATATAATATTTTATAAGTAATTTCATAGTTGTACTATACATAATAATATGATTGTTTATGATCCTAACAATGAGCGAGAGATGCCTCTTGTCAGCAAAGTAGCGGGCTAAGTACCATTCTACAACACTATCCTATGTACAACCAAATAAGATTTGAAAACTCAAAGTTGCCTTTGAACTTTTTTACTTTGTACAAGGTTTCCTACCATTTAAAATACTAATGTATAAAAGACTATAATTAAGCATGGAATGCTAGACCAATTTTCATAAAGATAAGCAATTTATTTTCAAAAACTGGACATGTGATTTTCTTACAAATAAAGAAAAATTCAAGAAAATCCTTGACTTCGGTGAATTTTTTATTTTCATAAAAGTTTGGAATAAAGATAGTTTATCTATTATTGTTTGTCAGATATGTCCCTCGATCTCTTGCCATAGAAAATCTTATTATTAATAAATCAAGACTAATTTTTTTTTTCGGGAATGCAGTCATTTCAATTCTTCATCCATAATGCCAAATACTATTCTTATGAATTTAAATAACACCAAACTCGTCCAATAAGTCCTATACAAATGGAAGAACACTAACTTTGCACATGATATAAAGAAGTTTCTTATAACATCACAAAATCTATCTTTGATGAAGGTCCAACAACTGGTGAAAGGTAAAAAACATACCCAAGAGACACATACCTAAGAGCAACAAAAATAATGCCCTTAATTTCTTCTTCAATCAAATTAGAGACAAAAGCAAATAGTAGACAAGGAAGGATCACACACCTAGTAGGAATATAGTCCCGACTATAACGAGGATCAATACAAAACTTAAAGAGCTTTCCAAAGTGATGAATGATTGTAATGACAATATCTGCCTGAGAAGAAGACACACATTTTATCATAGAGATAATATTAATAAAATTTTTATTTTTTTCTATCTTAAATCTTTGACAAGAGAAAGTATATCATCCTCTCCTAAATGAAAAAATATTACATCAGTACTACGCACGTAG